TTGATGCCAGCTTATTTTAATCTTTGTTCTGAAATTCCTTGCATTCTCAAGCTCCCCTACCTGTATCCTTCCTATGCATGATAATAAACAAATGCAGATTGATGACCAATATGTGAGTTGAGGAAATTTTAAGAACGAAAGGGTTTAGTTCTCTTTCCATTTTAGTACAATTTGGATCATAATCTCAGAGTTCTGGATGAAATATTTCAGTCACTGACTTCAAATAGCTGACTGAGGCAGTATCCAAGAAGAAATTCTTTTGCTGACATTCTAATGTTAATTCCCTATATAAATTCAAACAATTAACAAATTTTAATTTTTGTTTTACCTTACCCAAATAGCACAATCACAGGGATAATAATTAATAAATGATATGTAATAACTCATTGAAAGCCCCTTTACCAATGGGTGTTTACAAAAGATAAGGAGACATCAGCAAAAGCATTGGAGTAAAAACCTCTAAAAATTCTCTCTTCCATAAAAACTACAAGAACACTTGTGAGAATCATAGTAAGAATCAATTATGGAAGACAACCAAAGGCTTGCAGAAATCCAGGAAGTATTTATTCAAGGAAAAGCAGGTGAATCTTGGTAAAAACAAGAAACTCTGTGAGTTTGAATGGAAAACATCTGTGGCGTTTCCATAACCCCATTCCCATCCCACACCCCCAAGTTCCACTGTAGCATTAACAACCAGCCGTTCATAATCATGATGAAAATAAGCAGCCTGGCAACCAGGAGAGCGGGTGGAAGAAGGCTGAAGCTCTTACAAAGCCCCATTCTTAGAGAACTATCATGATTAAACCTGTCTGGAAGTCCCATGGAAAATCTCACTCAGAAGGCTGTCTTTCCTGGACTTGGAGCTTACCCAATTTGAAAAGCCTAAGCTCACGAGAGTTTGGTGAAACCAATTAAAGGAAATTTAACACTGAGTGTGCCTGAAGTGGTGGCTAACAGTTGGGGCAAACAATAGGCTAACCAAAAGCTTCAAAGGAGAAGCTGAGGAAGGAGATGTCCAGAAAGTAACTCGAAAAGTTCTAATATATTCTTAGGAATCTAGAAGGCCACATGCATGCCCATAGCTGTGCAAAGGCTCAGGAAAAACCTGAGAATACCCTCAGCTCTCCCCTTTGCCTGAACTTGAGGCTCTGTGTAAACAGGAAGTAAAGGCTAAGGCAGAACCATCAACTGCCTGGTATAATGTTGAAAGTGAGCCCCGGCTCGGCGCCTGTGGCTCAAGCGGCTAAGGCGCCAGCCACATACACCTAAGGTGGCGGGTTTGAGTCCCCAGCCCGGGCCCGCCAAACAACAATGATGGCTGCAGCCAAAAAATGGCCAGGTGTTGTGGCGGGCACCTGTGGTCCCAGCTACTTGTGAGGCTGAGGCAGGAGACTCGCTTGAGCCCAGGAGTTGGAGGTTGCTGTGAGCGTGATGCCATGGCACTCTACCCAGGGGGACAGCTTGAGGCTCTGTCTCAAAAAAAAAAAAAGAAAGAAAGTGAGCCCCAACATGCACATAGAGCCCTCCAGCAAAGACTGACAGATTTAGCTCTAAGCATTTGAGGAAATCTCTTCAATCATTAGTACACTACTAAACCTGAGTAAAATTTCACTAGCCACACAACAGAAAGAACACAGGCTTTGTAAAATTAATTTAGAAAAGTCATTAAACAAACAAGAAACAGTAATAACAATAAGCTCTAAAGAAAAAGAAACATCTGATTTGTAGGGTAATCATTACATTAGTTTAAAATGTCCAGTTTTTAATAAAAAATTATGAGACATTAAAAAAAAAAAGATTTTCTCTTTGGGCGGTACCTATGGCTCAAAAGAGTAAGGCGCCGGCGGGTTCAAACCCAGCCCTGGCCAAAAAAAAACTGCCAAAAAAAAAAAAAATATGAGACATAGAAAAAACTGAGAAAGTATGATCTAGAAAAAAAGAAGTCAATAATAACTGCCTCTGAGGATCCAAGACGAAAAAGAAGTTGGTCAGCTATTTTAAATATCTTCAAACAACTAAAGAAAACTGTCTAAAGAACTAAAGGAAAGCATGAGAATGATAATTCTCAAATACAGAGTATTAAGAAAAAGATAGAAATTATGAAAAAGAAGCAAATAGAAATTCTGGAATTAAAAAGTACAAGAACTAAAATAAAAAATTCAATAGAGGAATTCAAAGCAGATCAGAGCAGGCAGAAGAAAGAATCAGTGAATTTGAAGATAGATTATTGAGATTATCCAGTCTGAGGAAGAGGAAGAATAAAGAATGAAGAAAGAGCCAAAAGCAGTGGCTCATGCCTGTAATCCTGGCACTCGGGAAGGCCAAGGTGGGTGGACTGCATGAGCTCACTGAGTTCGAAACCAGCCTGAGCAAGAGCGAGACCCCATCTCTAAAAATAGCTGGGCGTTGTGGCAGGCGACTGTAGTCCCAGCTACTTGGGAGCCTGAGGCAAGAGAACTGCTTGAGCCCAAGAGTCTGAGGTTGCTATGAGCTACGACACCATGGCACTCTACTGAGGGTGACAAAGTGAGATTCTGCCTCAAAAAAACAAAAAAAAGAAAGAATGAAGAAAACCAAACAGAGCTCCAGAGACCAACATCAAATGAATCACCATATACATAATTTCAGAGTCCTAGAAAAAGAGGAGAAAAAGGGGCATAAAACATATTTGAAGCATGGTAAAAAAAATTACCAAATTTTAGCTAGGCATGCTGGCTCATGCCTGTAATCCTGGCACTTTGGGAGACTGAGGCGGGTAGACTGGAGTTTAAGGAGTTTAAGAGCAGCCTGAGCAAAAGCAAGACCCTGTCTCTACTAAAAGTAGAAAAACCAGCTGGGCAGTGTGGTACATGCCTATAGTCCCAGCTACCTAGGAGAGGCAAGACGATCTCTTAAGTCCAAGAGTTTGAGGTTTTTGTGAGATATGATGCCATGGCCCTCTACCCAGGGTGACGGCTTGAGACTCTGTTTCAAAAAAAAAAAAATTACCAAATCCTATGTCAACCACTAATCTAAATACTCAAGAAGTTCAATGAACTCCAAGTAGGATAAATTCAAAGAGATCCACACCTGGAAGCAGCATCATCAAACTGTTGAAGGACAAAAACAAAAAAGAGAATCCTGAAATCAAGACTTAAGGAAACAAGATACTCTCCAGAAGGGTACCTATGAACATATCAGAGGCAAAGAACATGGCTTTAAAAGAAGATCTCAGAATCTTACTTTTGTCAGATACATACCTCTGTGGAAGCAATTCAGCTGTGTACACACATTTAATACAACTTATATGGGATGGTTTTTCTCTTACTTTGGGAATAACAATAAACCAAATTCTCGAACCCAGGTGAATGTTTATTCTCCCACACTATCTCAAAGCAACAATAGATTCTCATTCCAAGATGAAATGAGAATTCCACTTTTGTAGGGAAAAAAAAGTACCAGCAATTGATTGTGCATTATGGCTTTTAGCTAAGAAGGTTCTTCTTAGGCACTTGAATAAAAGGCTCAACTTACATATAGTGGCTGATTGAGGGTTTCTTAAGAGCTATTAATATTTCTTAGCTCATTCACAAGAAAATACTATGACATACTGATATCTCAGTCTAAAGAAAGTTAAATGAAGAAAAAAATGCTTAATGTCTATATCAGACCTAAAATATAAATTTAACTAAATTTCTCCCTCTCTTCCCCTATTAACTAAAAAAAAAATTAAGGAGAAATACTAAGATAATCACGTTTTTTCCTTTAAGATCAGAAATTAGGGTAAATGTAAAATTACTGATTTCTTTCCTATAAAGCTCAGTTATATTTACTCTCTGTAAATGCTATAATTGCACTTTTTATAAAACTTGTATAAGTTGACACCCAATGGACTGTAACAAACTGGCCATATACAGAGCTAGTCAACAGAAGGAGCTAGACCTACTGCACAGATACATACACATGGTGCATGTCCAGTCTATGGAAATTAGCTCAACTTAAAAGGAGGTGGTCAAGTGTGGAGGTTCTATTACATTTATATACTGCCTTCATAATGAAGTATTAAGACCAGGAGCTGTGGTTCAAGCTTATAATTCTAGCACTATGGGAGGCTGAGATGAGTGGATTGCTTGAGCTTAGGAATTTAAGACCTGCCAAAGCAAGAAGAGCCAGACCCCCTCCCTATTAAAAAATAGAAAAACTAGCCAAGCATTGTGGAGGGCACCTATGGTCCCAGCTACTCAGGAAGCTGAGGCAAGAAGATCTTGGGTTTGAGCCCAGGAGTTTGAGGTTGCTGTGAACTATGACAATGCCGTAGCACTCAACTCCTGGGTGACAGAGTGAAACTCTGTCTCCAGAAAAAAAACTCTATTTTTAATTGAAACTAATTGCTTTCAAAATGTAATGGAAAGGTGGCAGTAGTGTAGACAATGTACTCAAAAGTATATCACTATGCTGTTTTTTAGAGCATTATATTTTATCATAAAATTTAAAACTAGAGAATAACTGAATAGTTTTTAATTCTATTTCTCAGATAAAATTGCCAAGAAAGAAAAGGAGGGAATAAAATGTTTTACTCAAGATTAGGAAAAACAGGCTGGGTGCAGTGGCTCACACCTGTAATCCTAGCACTCCGGGAGGCAAAGGTGGGTGGATTGTTTGAGCTCACAAGTTCCAGACCAGCCTGAGAAAAAGCGATATCCCCATCTCTACTAAAAATAGAAAAACTGAGGTAAGAGGATCGTTTGAGCCCAAGAATTGGAGGTTGCTGGGAGCTATGACACCACAGCATTCTATCTCTTAGCTCGAGACTCTGCCTCAAAAAAGAAAAAAAAAGTTTAGGAAAATAAGACTATAACAGTTAAAAAAGGAAAGTATAAATTAATGGGAAAAAAAAAACTGGAACTATAATGCTCACGGAACAGAAAGTTATACCTTGGTGATCTCTAGTCCTCATGACAGACAATCTTCATTGTAGACGGGGGCAAACTACACTGTTATCCAGATTTCCCCAAACTGACCTGTGATAATAAGACATTCATTGTGATCCAGCACCTCAGTGAAGAGTCGTGAAACAATCAACTCAGGATTGATTAAAAATCGGATTTCTTCTTGTACAAGTCCTGCACTGGTTACGCCGCCTCCAACAAAGCGATTTGCAAAATCCACCTATTTTGGAAAATATGGCATGTTAAATACTGGTCTAAAATACCTACACAGATGATAAAGAAGCACAGGCCCTCTAAACTCTAATCTTCTTTTCTTCTGTTATAAAAATCAATCGCCAAATTAGCAATCTTTTTGAGAAAGGCAGATAATAGTTGCTTATACCTTTGTACTCTATCCATCTCATTGAACAGCTCTCCATATTTCTTTGGATCACAAAACCATAAAAGGAACCTGGAAAGTGAAACTTTTAGGCAAAATAATATATGTTATGGATTCTTGTTTCTTACCCATAGTCTGTACCCTCCCCACCCCCCAGGGCCACAAATCAAAGGTAGTCTTTATGTGAAAAGGTTTCAAGGTCAGTTGCCCACCTTTACTACTCAATTTCCCTTTATGTGTTTCACATGACTTGAATATAATTATATCTTTCTTATATATTATGGCGATCAAACACTTGCCTTAAAGAATTGAACAGCTGAGTAACTTAACAGTTTAGGGGTAACCTTTTACAATGTTACTGGAAGAATAAAGTGATGGAATGTTTGTCTCTCTAAATTCAACACCAAACCCTCAAATGTGTGAACTTTACTATTTTTAAAAAATATAGCAAAGGAAAGAAGGAAGGAAGAAAACTCAGTATAATGACAAGGATTCAACTAAGTTAATATTTCCAACTTAGTTTGAAACTAAATGTAAGCTTTGTATGGAGTACCAACCTCTGAATACAGAGGAGTTACACAATCCTCAAGAGAAAGCAAAGCCAACCCTCCAGCACTACTTCAGTGTGTCCTAAACTCACTAAGCACTCCAACTTGTTCAACACCATGCCAGGCCCCATGCAGTAACATGTAAGAAATGGCATCCACCTTTATTCAGATTATTCTATCTGAGGAATTGGATTACACACATATATAAAACTTGTGTACATATATATATATTTTTAATAGAGACAGAGTCTCATTTTGTCGCCCTCAGTAGAGTGCCATAATGTCACAGTTCACAGCAACCTCCAGCTCTTGGGCTTAGGCGATTCTCTTGCCTCAGCCTCCTGAGTAGCCAGGACCACAGGCGCCCATCACAATGCCTGGCTATTGTTTTTTTTTTTTTTTTGCAGTTTGAACCCATCACCCTTGGTATATGCAGCTGGTGCCCTACTTACTAAGCCCCAGGTGCCACCCACAACTCGTGTACATATTTAATCATACAAACAAGTAAAAAAGAATTTACTAAGTACTCCAAGAAAGGCTTATATAAACTATTGTAAAATATAAGGTTTTAAAACTTCTTCATGTTCTGTAAAGCAAGTGACACTAAATAACCTCTAGTCTATTTTAATAAAATAATAAAATAAGAATATGAATCTTTCAATAAGTAAAAATATGTGAATTTTTTAATAAAAGGCTAAGTAGTCTTCTTTCATCACAGAAGAACTATGTATTAAATAATGGAAAATATAAAAATATACCATTTGCAAGTGTTTGAAATGAATTACCACAGAGAATCCTATATTTGGGTTTGGATTCTGGAATAATAAAATCAATGCTAAAAACACAGAGTTACTCATTAGCTTATACAGAAAAATAATTTTGGTGAAAATAGGCTATTGAAAAATAATTCTGACGAAAATAGACTAATACAACTTTTCTGGAAAGAAGTATGGAGAAACCTCAAAGAACTCAACCTAGACCTCCCATTTGATCCTGCAATCCCATTACTGGGCATCTATCCAGAAGGAAAAAAACCTTTTATTATAAAGACACTTGTACTAGACTGTTTAACATAGCTCAATTTACAATTGCTAAAATGTGGAAACAGCCTAAATGCCCCTCAACCCAGGAGTACTGGCAAGCTGTGATATATGCGTACCATGGAATACTATTCAGCCATTAAAAAAATGGATATTTTGCAGCATTTGTATTAACCTGGACGGAGGTGGAACACATTATCCTTAGTGAACCATCACAGGAATGGAGAAGTCTGAATCCTATGTATTCAACTTTGATATGAAGACAATTAATTAATGACATGGTAGGGGCTGGGGGATGGGGAGAACAGATAGAGAGAGAGTAGGAGGGAGGGGGTGGAGGAAAGGAAAAGAGAAAAAAATAAAGAAATAAATAAAAGTAAAAAAGAAAAGAGTGACTAATTCTCACATAAATTGGACTTAATTTTGACCAAAGTACATCATTTAAACAATAATTTTTAATTCAACTTGTTAATATGTTGTTTAGGATATTGCATCCTCATTTATAAGTGAAATATGTTTGTAATTTCCCTTTATAATAATATATTTTTTCCAATTTTAATATCAGGTATATCCAGATGAAGTAGAATGATTTTGAAGTATTTCTTCTTTTTCTATTGTCTATAAGATTTGGCATGATCTGTTTTCTATTCTTCTATTTTTATTTATAAAAATAAATATTCTCTATTTTTTGAGACTTTGGGAAAAAAAAAAGGTTAACTGATGACTCCATCCTGAATCTCAGAGTCAATGTATTCTATGGTAGACATACTTTTATCTGACAATGTGAATGTTACTTTTTTTGCATTATTATTATTGCTCAATATTTTGCTGTAGCAATCATCTGATTTCTTTTCCGAATGCATTTATCTTTGTTCGATCTTGACGAAGTTTTTGTTTCTAGTCCTTATCTTAAACATTGTATTATTAAATTTTAAGCCTCTTTAATTTTGTGAAGGCCAAAAGTGGAAACCAAATAAACACATGTACATGTATAGAGAAAATTAAAAAAAAAATAAATGTCTCTACAAAAAAAGAAAATAGGCTATTGAGTAGAATTAGTTACCTAGTGCATGTGAGGTCTTTGGGCACAGAGGATTCATGACTTAAACTATTCAATTCAATAAATATTTACTGAGTACTGTGCTGGGACCATGGGATACAATGATGTATTTGTTTCCAGGCCTCACACATTCGTAATCTACATGGGAGACAGGCACAAAAGCAGAATGATAAGATGATTTTATTAAAGAACTTAGTAATATGTATTCAATACCTCCCAAAATAACATAATTAAAATTCAAACATGGGAGAAAGGTAGAAGAACTTACAAGAGGACATGACATTCAATCAAGACTTAGCTGATAGGTAGACTGAGGAAATGGCTACACAAGGACAAAGGGAAAAAACCCAATGCCAAGTGCTGTATGAGAGGAACAGTCAACAGATTTCTCAGGTCTAACTGCAATGTAGAATATGTAGAAGGTGATGAGGTGGTCTGAAGTGTACAGAATTTTTATTTCTGAAGATTCTGGGAAAGAGTCAAGTAACAGCTGAACCTATGTTTTAGGAAGATAATGCAGTTTACAGTTTAAAGAATAAACTGGAAAAGTATAAAATTAAAAACAAAGAGGCTGTTTAAGTGACCACTGAATAGTTTAGACAAGCATTACTTAAGACTCAAACAGGGCAGTGGTAAAGGAAAGGAAAGAGAGGAGACTCAGCAAAGAAACAAAAAGTCCTGTACTTGAGAACTGAGAGATTAGCTGAGTGCCTATTGTGAATACAGATGAGAAACAGGTTAAGATTTGAGATGGGCCTAACTTAATTTTTACTGGAATAAGGTACATAACTAAAATTAAAGGATAAAGCTCTATCCAATTTAAGTACTGCCTCACAGTGATCATGGAATACACTCAATGTAGGTAGTATTGTTTACTATATGAACAAAATGTCAACATTTATTACTTGAAAGAAAGACACAGAAATAAACATACTAAACTCAGTAAGCTTCTAAAAGCAGAGGTCTTTTAGAAAACCAAAGTTTCTACTACGTAAGAAAGTTCTTGATAAGAGGCTCTCTACAGCAGGGAAGAAACCTGTTCCGGTACATGAAAACAAGCATGTAAGTGCTTCTTTATTTCAGCCAGTCATTTCTAGGTCTCTTTACTTTAAAGCTACTTGTTCAAATTACTCAGCATCTGAACTGTAATTTGATGAAAAGAGAGAAATGATAACATTCCTTAGAGGGTTTGTTTTTGTTGCCACAGCATAATGTAATTTATATGCTACACAGGGAACTATGCAACACTGCAATACAATATTCCCTGATCTCCTGGGGACAGGGCATGAGTAGGGAGAACAGTGAATAGTGCTAGAAGCCTTTGTGGCATTCTTTTAATCTACCACATCTCACATTTCACCTGTAATATATTCCAGGCAAGTGGGGAGGATGCTGACTTTGCCTGTTGTTAAATAATTCCATGTTGAATTGTATTATAATTGTATTATAATAAAGGTCAGCATTCCTGGGGTGTTAACTAGCTTTGTTTAGTTCACGCGTATTAAGAATCCCTCAGTTCATCCAAGTTCTTTTCTACAACTTCATCATGAAAATAATGTGGAGGAAAAACTAATAGTCATCTGAAACAATACTTAAGTATATTTGTAAATAGAAGAAGAAGCATGTGATTAAATACAAATTAAAATATGTTTTGCTTTGGTTTTTGCCAAAGCTAAGTACAGGACAAACTTAACCTAAGAACTTTTGTTTCTATGTTCAAATAATTACAGGAAGGTGGTGATTTAAAACTAAACATAATTTGTCTCCTTGAAGATTTTAATTACTCGTATTTCCAAATAAAACACCATTCTAAAAAGAATCTCAGTTTGACTTATCATTTGGAACATATGTATATAATAACAAGCCACACTCAGTCTAGTCTCTTTTTAATAACATTAAAATTATTCACAGAAACCAGTCCATTTGCAGGGAACTGCTTTCTCTAGGTTCTGTCTCAATATAAGCATGATATAAGGAGCTAAGAAAAAAAATCAGCTATTACCAGCATAAATGAGATGGTGTATAAGCTTCTATCAAAGAAAACTAAGTTTACAATGGTCCTACAAATGGGATAAAAACACAAAACACTTAACATTTGTCTTTGATTAGTGAATTCAAAAAAACAACTATGAATCAAAAGATTAGGTTAGGTGTTACTATAATATTTTAAAGCTCAATACAGGGGTGTTACGTTGACTCTTCTCCAAAAACACTTTTTAGAAGTAAGGGCAGTAACAGATAAATAATAATGACTGAGGCATAGACAGAATTACTTCCTCTTTCCGGGGAAAAAAGGACACTAGCAAGCACAGCTAGCTCATGTGCCTAAAACTGTTACATGACGGGAGAGAGGTCTTTCTAATCAATCAGTTTTAGATGTCTGTCTCCTAGACCTAAACAAGGCTGTTGGTAGCAGAAAAACATCTCAAGTTCTTCATCATTTGGGGCACAGCAAGTGTCTTTAAAGATAAAAAACAAAACTGCCTGGTGACAGCTTGTCAAGACCATACTCTGGGAACTTCCTCCATTGTCAACCTACAATCAATGTCTGAACCAAGAGGACTGATGTTGTCCAGATCTTGGGATTTTCTGTCAAAGGTTTCTTAAAGACGCACATGTAAGAAACAGAGGGCACACACTGGCAAATAACATTACCAAGGCTGTCAAAGTGATCTGTTTGCTGTTTTTCTCCATTCTGCTATCATGCTTCTTTGCATTAAATCAGCTCAGGAGACAAATAAACGGCTTTTCAAATTTTGCTGTCAGAAGCTTGACAAGAGAAGGTCCTAAACAGAGATATTACTGAGATCCACCTACCTGTAGCATGCCTCGGCCGTTTCCTTCTATGGTACCTTCATAGGTGACATGCAATCGTGTCAAGGGTTTTTCACACCTACAATATAAAAAGATATTCCCTTATTCTTTTTTTTAATATATGTTTTAAAATTGTTTTTAATTCTGAAACTCAAGATAAAACCATCTCAAATCCCTCATTCTTTTCTAATGACAAGTAATTCACTATAGACAAATCTGAAAACATAGATACTATAAAAATAATTGAAACAGACCCCAAATCTCAAAAGCTATAAATGGGTAATCATTGTTAACATTCTTGATATTGATCCTCCCAAACTTTTCTTTTCAAATATGTATCTATTTAAATTAAAATGGGATAACACAAAACTTTAAATATCAAAGTTTCTTTTTTAAAACAGTTGAAAAATTTCTCAAAATATAAAAAATTAAGTTCTATTATACTAGAGTTGCAACCTGAGGAAAAATACACAAAAACTGGCAATAAATCATATATGATTCTCAGATAGGCCCTATTTTCACTAGCTTGATAACTGTGTCTAAGTAGGCAGTGTATGTCTTAATGAAAATATATGCCACAGAATATCTGATCTATGGTATTTTTATACAAATGGGGTGACAAATAAACCTAGTATCAGTAAGTCATTCAGAAGGCACAATTATTTTCTTTCCTTTTCAACCATGCTCACTGAGGTATGTGTCTGGTTTACATTATTATTAAAAACAAATTTTACTGTACTACTAGCATGTGACAATTTTTTTCTTAATAAATTTTTCTCCTGATCACTTATTGAATAAAAAATATGAATTCTAATAAACGTAACAGATGAAATTCAAACTCCTAATGTATAAAAGGGTGGTAATAAACTTTTTTTTGGGGGGGGGAGGTGGTAACATTTTTTAAAAAGTAATTTAGGAGGCTAGCTGGTAAAGCACTATTTACTCAGATTTGCTTGCTTCCTTTCTTGATTTCAATGAATTCAAATAAATTTCTGGTAAAAATTCAGCCCAAATAGGCTGATAATCTCCAACTCTGAAGGAAACTCTGAACAGGTTCTAAGAGCTTTATTTGTGTTAATTCATTTAATCCTCACAACAAACCTATTATTATCTCCTTTAATGGATGGGAAAATAGCATAGAACATTTAAGTAACCTGCCCAAGGCTAATAATTACAGAAGCAAAGGTCTGAAACTAAGTAACTTAACTCAATAGTTCAAGCTCTTAACCAAGTATACGATGCATTTCAAAAAATTATTTCCCAATCTCTTGTAGAAAGCAGTACCATAAGTTTGATTTTCTTTAACTTCTTTTTTTTTCCTTCCTTTCCTTGCCTAGTCTTATTTTTTGAGACAGAGCCTCTAGCTGTTGCCCTGGGTAGAGTGCTGCAGCATCATAGCTGACAACAACCTCCAACTCCTGGGTTCAAGCGATTCTCCTGCCTCCACTTCCCAAGTAGCTGGGACTACAGGAGGCTGTGACAACGCCAGGCTATTTTTTGGTTGCAGCATCATTGTTTTGGCGGGCCCAGGCTGGATTCGAACCCACCAGCTCAGGTGTATGTGGCTTGCCCAGTCTTTTTATTCAGAGAGAGACTATCTGTGAGGATACTACTGAAATGATAAAGAATCATAATCCAAAAATCTCTAGGCTGTCAGTTAGACTTTAAAACATAAATTCCATCTGTTGATATCTATTCTCCATGACTGAAGTTGGCAACTTTATAGTACAGTTTTCAATAAAATTATAAAACTGCTACAAAGTGTTCTGTTTTGAAGCATCCACCAACTTCCCAATAGGTCTCCCTTTCTAGTCCCAGCAAATCCTCTAAACCCCTGCCCCAGGAATCATAGAAATAGATGATTCTGGCTCTGCGATTAACTCAGCTGGGCTAAGATAATCAACGGGTTACATAACATGCCAGATACTTGGAATTTCAAAAAAGTCTCTAAGTTCCTGGCACCCAATTAGCCTGTTACTCTTGGGAATACCAACAACCCTCATCTCTTCTTCATCCTCCCTCTTTAAGTGAATGCATGTTTCTGGTTCTGTGGGGTCTGAGAGACTGATTTTAATTATATTCTCCAACTCACTTATGAAG